GACAATTATGCCCGCTGTAGTCAGAGTTGTTGCTGCGCCCAGCCCTTCCCACCTAACTGATTTTCTTGCTCAAGAAACTTCTCAGTTCACCGTATAGAACGCCAAATCGTTGCGCTTGTTAATGGACTGGCGGCCTGATAACCATGATTCCAGCAGCTCGCGGCTCACGCGGTTGTCACTACTTGCGAGGATTTCGGCCTCGTCAAACTTGAAAATATGGCCGGGTCCAGTCGAGTGAACTGCAATCTGAGAGTTGGCGTCTTCCTTCCTCACTGCCGCTGCATGCTCGGCCCTTCGCGTCCGGAGAAATCTCCCGGTTCTCCGACCTAGTTACTTTGTCCACAACTGCACCAGATCCGGTAAACGATTCCAGCCGTTTCCTGCCGTGACAGTGGGTCTTTCGGTCTCATGACCCTGCGCCTGATGTGGGTCTTTCGGTCTCATGACCCGGCTCCTGATGGTTGCTTCTGGCCTGTGCGTAATTCCAACTCCAAGTGGGGTGAGTAGGCGGCTGACCGCTTCCGATACATTCTTCCCGTACGGAAGAGCTCGCCAAACTTTTGGGCCAGTTGGAAATGGCTTTTTCTTCTCTCGTTTGCGTATGCATTGGTTGACAATATTGCGCGGGTAACCATTCACTTTCAGTACCCGTCGAAGATGTCGTAATTCAGCAACTTTGTCTTCACTTCACTGCAATGTGTTTAAACGCGCCGGTAAAGCGCTCTTACGCGGCTGCCTTTGTGACCGATTGGGTGGTTGCTGTTGTAGTTCAGGACTTGCATAGTGTTGGTTGCTTTCCTAAACACTTTCGTTTTTAGGCCACCACCATCTTTGTGGCAGACGAGGGCAACCAGGAAGCCCAGCTGGTTGTTCTCTTCTTCCTCCACCGTAAATTTAATGTCCGAGAAGATGGCGTTTAAAATTTCCTTGGGTGTCAGAACCCGATCCCGCCCAATTACGATGAAGGTGTCATCCACATAACGAGCCCAGTATTTCGGTCTGCGGTGTTGAAAAACCCGTGACTCCAACCGTTACAGGACCGCCTCTGTTATGAGTCCGGAAATGGGCGAACCCATTGGCATGCCCTTCATCTGCTCGTAGATAGCTCCGTTGAAGATAAAGTACGTCTTGAGGCAGAACTTTAGGAGCTGGAGGATTCGGGCGTGCCCGAGACCATTTTCCGTTTCATTGTATTTCTCTCGTAGGAGTAGTTGGATATTCTCGACTGCCAGTCCCTGTGGAATAGAAGTAAAAAGGGACGTGACATCAAACGAAACGATGATATTGTTTGGCTGGAGGCTTACTCCTTTAAGTATCTCCAAGAATTATGTTGACGATCTGACAGTTGCGTCTGAATCAGCGTTCAATATTTTGAGCCGTCGGAACAGCCACTTTGCCGTCCGTAGGTTGGAGTTCCTTTGAGAAATATGATTGGCCGGAGGGGTGCGTTCTCTTTGTGCACCTTTGGGGGACCATAGAAGCGAGCCAGGGCCGTTTCTTGCGCCATCGCCATGCGTCTGTCGATTAGCGATATTGCGCCTGAGTTCTCCGTTGCCAGCCGCGTTGTGTTTATCTCGCGTGTCAGCGTTTTCACGGAGTTGGATTTGCATGCATTAGTGCCAGATTACGCATACGAACTATTAAGAAACTGGTGCCGAGGCCTCCAACGAAGGAATTTCCGTGAAACGTTTTCCAACAATGACTAAGGGGTGACCGCTGCGTCTGAGGTAAGCAAGCAGATTAGTTCGCGGCCATGAGAACATCCCACTTCCCTTTGTAGTCATCAGGCGCAATATAATTCCAAAAAGACCACTCAAATAATATCTTATTCGAACATGTCAAACAACGAACTTCCTGAATCTAGACACAGTACCGAACATAAATGTGCAAGTGCTAAAC